CAAGAGAGAGAGAGAGAGAGAGAGAGGGATCGTTCACGAATATTTTTTTGTTAACGAAATCACGGCGAGGTTGACGTTCGCTGTTTCAAACTTATATATATATATATACATATGTATGTATATAAGTTATACGGGCATAAATTACGTTGAACAGGGAATCCACGAAGGGAATCAAACAACACTCGGGGATACGCAACGGGGAAACGGGTATTGCGCATGATTACGAACGATCCTTCCCTTTTCCTCCTCCGTTCGATGCCTTTCGCCTTAGCGGAGGCGAAAATGCTAATGGGAGGGGGGGGGGGGTTGAAATGTATAATTGGGGTTGAAATGTCAATCGTCAAAGGATCAAAAGTGTAGGATACCGTTTCCCCGGTACACGATTGTTGGAGAGGTGTTTCGGTAAAAACGAACGATTTCCACGAGAGGGAGTCGTGTCCCGGGACAGGGAAGAAGGGGGGGGGGAGAAAAAAAAGAGAGAGAAGCGAACCGGTGGAGAACCGTTGAAATAATTTCAGGACGTGATCGACGACTACAAGGAGAGGGTGAAGAGACGAGGACCCGTCTACAAAGAGATCGATCCGGAGTGTCTGAAATGGAACCCCTTCCAGCCTCCCAAGACGCCCTCCGCCTCGAACTAAGGCTTGCAGCAGGAGCCCGGAATGACGCCGACGCCGACGGCGACGGCCTCTCCTCCTCCTCCTACCCTCCCCCTCCTCTATTTCTCTCTCTTACACACTCGTTCACCGGTGTCGACCAAGGGCGGTGGTCGATCTCTTTCTTCTTCTTCTTCTTCTGATCATTCTCCTTCGTTTTCCTCTGTCCCATGCTCCTTTTTCTCGGGAAACATGTTCCCGTTCGAAATTGCTCGCGCGAATGACACGTGAGAGAAAATTTCTCGCGAGAATCCATCGAAAGATTGGGATAGCGTCATCTTTTCACGAGAAAACATTTATGAGAAATCGAACGAGAATGAATAATCCTATTTTTTCGAGAATTATTCGTTGGAAATTGCAACGACACGTTCGAAATCTGTTTGACCGATAATGTCCTCCCATTCCGAATTACTTATTCCGTAACTGTATAATGGGGAAGAAAGAAAGAATCGCCACCGCGAATCGAGATCGAGTTTCCTCCGGTCGAGAAACGACGAGAACTTGCGGTTCGTTTGTCAGCGTCGTTCGTTTCGTTCACCGATTTTTCGAATATAATCCGTGGCTCTTTTTAGAAATGATTTTTAAAAAAAAGATTACGTGTTCGAATGAATATGTAACACGGCCGCGCGAAATCGACGCGATTTCAACAGATATTCGGCAGGACGAATTTCTTTATTCGAAATCTATTTAGACCATATTGCTTATAGCTGGTCCAACCGAGACACACGAACGAGAGATACGTTATTGATCGCGCTAGCGAACTGTACACGGCGAACTGCAAAACGGAGAGTTTCGAGCGTGATGAACACCGAAAGGCCCGACGTCCTCGGTCGAGCCCATTAAGCAACGTGAAAATAACTTGAAAGCTATCGAGTCAAGGTTGAACAGGATCAATTTAAACGGCGCGTTCCTACAGTCGCCGATATGCCAGTTGAGGTGACCGTCGTAAAGCATTTTTTTTTTTTTTCCCCAATGTTTTTAGATCTAGAGAACGTTCTTTTCAAATGATCATAAATATATCATAACCATATGGTATTGTAAGGAAATACCATAAAAGGATAGGTAGTTCGAAGTGGATGAATATAGTTATACAGATAAGCTTACAAACACACACACACACACACACACACGTAGATACGATCAGTGAAATGAATTTCTCGTTTGTCTTCTTTAATTATTTTTATTCGTTTATTAATTTATTCGTTACATCGATACAAGTATTCGAGTTGAGAGGCACTGCGCGTTTATTATTTACGACGGAAGAACGTTTGTGTCACATTTTTTTCTTGCAAATATTGTTGTCGATTTTTTTTTCAAGGTTTGTTCGGCTACCTGATGGTTCCCTTCGTTGACCAAGAGTCAGCTATTAACAATCTGTAAATTAAACATTTTATGACCGTGTATGTTGTATAAGGTGTACAATATTATTTATAAGAATACAATTTTTATCAACAACATTTTCAATATATATAATTATATGTCTCCCCACCTTTTTCCAACACAGAGACGAGATGCTTTTACAAAAGAATTAACAAAAATATAACGAATTTCGTTAATGCTAATTTTATTTCTACCATTAATCGAGCGTTTTTTCTTATGCAAAATTTTATTCGTACAGTTTTGCATAAGGAATATACTTATGTATTAATAAAAAAAAAAAAAAAAAACTAATTCTCTTTGAGTTTAAAAATTTCATATCGTTTTAAGAATGATGATGGATAGTTTTCTGATAATGCATGATTATTATATAAACTCTTAATATTCTGATAAAGAAAAGGAAATTTACTCTTAATCAACAAAATTTCTTTTTTGCTTTCGAAAAACCGATTTATACCAAATAAATTGGATTCATCAATTCGCCAAAATTGTATTATAGTTACAAATATCGAACGATTAAAAGGAAAAAAGAAAGAATAAGATTGTAAAATTAAATGTGGACGACAGTTCATAATCTGTCTTTAATAAACCGGAAATATGATATAAAACTCTTTTATGGACACGAGTCTTTATATAACCTGTCGGTTTTTAAAGCTTATTGATACGGTTCTGCATGGTCTATTGACTCTTAATACCACTTTAATTTATTTCATACGTGTAGACGTGTCTTTCACGGACATTAGCTATATTTACTGATCAAGTGTTGTGCCGGGTGACACAACATGATTCAATGCTTTATCTGTCCAAGTGTTGTCAAGTTTTTAATTTTTTCAACGATAAAATTAAAAATTGGGTGTGTCTTGTATCAAATTCTAGATATATATATATATATATTATATGCTAGATTATATTTCTTACGTATATTTGCATGCTTATCTTTATTAGGTATAATAACTAAAGCATTGAAAAAATTGACACGTTTACCATAACTTGTGTACTGTACAAATTATACCATATTCGCTAAAAATAAAATGTGATGATTTTTTGGTAAATAGTACTTCCTTTGGAGAACTTCATTTCAGATTTTTTAAGAGCGTCATCTTTACCGATACCGTGTTACCAGTAGAAATTATAGATGACGTATTCTTACAAAAAAAAAATCATTAAGATTCATTAAAAATAATAAACGATCATAAGGATATTGAATTAAAGATAAACTAAAACGCGAGAACTGCGATCAATCGAAGGTAAGTATTTTCTCGGATACGCATTGCAGATTTTGTGACTAGAAGTTTGGAAGTTTATTGACCGAAATAAAAAAAATGTAACTCGGTCCAAATAGGCACTTTTCAACGCTCTGAGGCTTCTGGAAGCTATTGGAACCGTGCAAATAGACGAATAATTGTGTTACTCCGGTTCCTTCTCCTCCCTCTCCCCCGCCCCCATCTCCTTTCCCATTCTATCTTCTCTCTCGTTTCTTTCGCTCGGTACGCTGCCACGCGACCCCACGTAACGTCATTATCCCATTAGTTCGCGACATTACGAGGCTACGGTTCCTCTCCTTTACCCATCGAGAGAGAAACGATACTCTCTCGTCTAACAACGTTTCATCCACGTCTAACAACAGGGCGCCGGTTAATTTTATTTACCGATTAAACGAGGATCGCGTTCAAAATTAAATCGCACCCATTAACCGACACTGTATCGATAATAACGATCGCATTTTTCAACGGGCGGTAATATTCAGGAAATAGGAAATAATACTCAGTCGCCTTATTCCTTATAATCATCGTGCGAATCTTAAATACGTGTTTCGTAATAAATTTATATACATGTCCTTCTGTGAATCAATTCGTCACACGTGAATTCAAAATTTGAACATCCGTATCACAATAATTATTCTTCTCGTATTGGACGTAACGATCAAAGTTTCATATCGAACTTGTATTTTTCAAGTTTCATCCTCGTTTAAGATGATCGATTCTTTTTTTTTTTTTTTTTTTTTGCAATGACGAAATAAGGTAGCAGGGCACAGTCATATGAATTGCGCTCCAACAGGTGCCGGGTATCGAGTTCACCAGAGCACCTGATGAAGTACAATTAACATGCAGCCTCCAGTTCTTCCCTCCTCTCTTCCAGATTGTTCGCATTTTTCTTCTTCCATTATGTTCTTTTCTCCTCTCTCCTTGTCTTGATGGTAACTGAATTTTGCAGCGAAAAAAGCGATGATCCAGTTTCGCCGCAGCGCGCGCTACTTCAGGTACCTGACTGATTCGAAATTGGCACAGCCTAAAGTACCCGAGTAACGCGCGTTGCGCACGACAAGTAACATTTCCTCTGAACAATCCTGTCGGATAAATTACGCGACTGCAGCGCCACATTGCGACAGCGTGTCCTGCATTTAGAAATAAAGATTCGAGTGCATGCAAGAAACGATAATTTAACGATAGTTCAATCGCGATTAGAAGAAATAAGCTGAGTGACAATAAGACGTACGATTTACGAGGTGGTCCGTTATTGTCCGTTTAACAAAACAGAAATGTGTAAAGATTGAAATGATAATATGTTCGTAGCAAGTAGCAGTGAAAAATTCCTTTTTGTAGAAAAACCGACAATAAATTCTTTCCGCAAACGCTGATTCGCATTCATCGAAAACGACCAAGTACCATAAAAGATTAACAATAAATCGAGACCTCCCAATAGAGGTTAGAAACCAGTGTGCAGGATTTATCAGGGAAGGAAACTTGACAGGCAGATGTTGCATTGTGGCAGGTAGCTAAATCTCTAAAATTTTTTCTATGAGACATGACGTGATCTAAAAGGTGGGTCTCGAGATATCTCTTTTTAGCCTGAACAAATATGGGATTCTAAAATTTTGTTCAAATAGACTGACAAAAGATATTCGAAGAACGGACAGAAAAATTTTAAGTGAAATACGCGATTCTTCAAAAAAAAATATTTTCTTTTGTGATGTAAATAATAATTATAAAACATCATTAAAAATCACTATATCTTTTAATGCTATAAAATAAAATTTATATTACACAAAAAAAAGTTCATAGATTTACAATGAATCCAGTTGATATTAATCCACGTATAGGTTAGGATTCCATTTGTGTCCCAATGAGAGTTGTGCATGACATTGCTCGTTACTCGTTGACACGTCAGAGAAATATCGACACATACTCGTTACATTATGATATTCCAGTTAATTCGTTGCATAAATAAACCGATTGATGGCAGAAATTGTTGTAAATATCTCGAAGGAGCGTCATCGAAAGAAAAACGTATAAATAAAAACGTTTAATATACACGTATAAAGAAACGATCAAAGTCTTTAATACTCGATGCTTAGTTACTTAGATTTCTCTTCTCGCAATCGTTACACAACATTATGCACTTTCGTATAATTCGATCATAAATCCACGTTGCATTTTGGATCTCTATAATAAATAAATTATACGCTCAATTTTCACAACGATAATTGCTAATCTAAACTTGTCACATAAAATATCACTGCTTAGTAATATAAACTTTTCACACAAATATTAACGTATAACATCGATGATTAAACTCGTATCATCTGTTGCTACAGAAACTTCTTGATAATTGGAAGATAGTTGAGAAATTCACAAAAGTCAATAAAAGATAAGGCTCGAGTTGATAATTTCGCACAATTTTACCACCTTTAAATCAAATTGTTAATGCGTAACACGTTTCCATAAAGTAGAACTGTCCGAGCACTAAATCGAAGAGGACTATTTTCGTCGTCCGATTTCTTACACGTACAAAAGAAACGAAACGAACGAAAGAAATTGAAACGAAATGAAAGACGCGAAGGAATGTATAAGCCAATTAACAACAAGGCGACGCGAAACGTGCACGGAGATTACACGAATCTGATGAATGGTAATATTCCTGGAGCGGTAGTTCCTTCGCAGTGGCCGACGCATCGTGACATTGAAACTCCTACACTCGTTGGTGGAGGTAAAGGAAAGTCTCCCCTCTTGCTTCCCGTCGCGTTCCCTCTTTCCCGTTCTTCGTCGACGAGTGACGATAATAGGCCGGGAAACGTCGACGATTGCGGGGTAAGAGGCGAGGGGCGAGGACTTCGATGAATCAAAGCGAAGGAGCCAGACAGAGGGTGGGAGGGAAGAAAGAAGAGAACCGCGACAGCGTTGGATCGAGATAAGGGGAAAGGATCGAATGGATTGCAGGGTGTATGGAGGGGATGAAAGTCAGGGGGGAGGGATGGAAGAGGGCAAGGTTGCAGACGCCGGCAACCAAGAAGGCAACCACCACGTTTACACCGCTACGTACAGTACGACGCGTGTAACTGTTCGTCTTTTTCGTTGGAAATTCTCTTCCAACTACTCCTCTCTCTATTTATCGTACCACTAACATACAATCATGGTACGATAAATAGTATCACAATTGCAAGTAGAGAAATGCAAAAACGCTCGAGTAAATGGAATTTTTAAATATTTTGCGTAATAACACAATAATAAATACAATTGTAATTAATAATAAGAGATCTTCTCTAGAAAGTTTTCCACATTTTATTCATTGCATCAATTGCAAGCAGAAGTTTTTCAAAAATTTCCGATTACACTCGATCGATTTAAGATAGTCATAATTTAAAATGTGTTTGATTGTTGGACTTACCGAAACATTTCCATAAAAAGCCACGATATATATTTAATCGATAGGCTCCCAGTCTTATCTAAACTTTACCTAAGCGGCGATTTTAAATAATAACATTATCGTGATGTTTCCGATAAGTGTACGTAACATAAAAAATCGTAGTCCGAGCACTTCGATATTAAACTGCAGTATTATTCCTCACGATGGGTTATTTCAAAGATAGTCATCGGACCTTTGATCACGAACGTTATGCGGATAATTAGAATATTGCACCACCGGCATATATTTTAGACACGCAAATTTTTCTAGCGAATTTTTTAAACGAACGAATTTTGTTGAGACGAAAGGACAAG